TTTTTTACTTTTTTTTTTCTCTTTTGATTGATTGATTGATTGATTGGTGGGGGATGGGTCGCCCCCCCAACCCCCACCCAATCACACACACACACACACACACACACACACACACACACACACACACACACACACACACACATACTTGCACGGGGTTTCGAAGAGTTTTTCTTTTTCTTTTTCTTTTTTCTGTTTTTATTTTTAGTTACGCAATTGAAAACAATAATGCCCCCCCCAAAAAAATGGGCGTGTAGGGTTTTTTTAGACCTACACGCCCTTTTTTTTTCATGCATTAAAAAAAAAAAAAATCTTGCACGCAACTCGGCTGGTCGGCCTAGGCCGAACCGAGCCGATTTGGCCATCGGCCGAGGCCGCGGCCGATTCGTACCCCCCGGCCGCGGCCGGGCGTGCAACATAGCTCATGAGCATAGTAGGAATTTTTGCGTCGTCTTCAATACTGTTTCCATTGCTGTCTATTCCCTTTTGAACTACTGCTGTTGCTACACCTTGCATACTCGGGAACGATTGCATACGGAATCCCGGAATGATTAGATGATTGGGTAGTTGTTGGACCGAAGACCAGCGAAACGCCTTGCGGGAATGCGCATAAGCAAGGTATGATCTGCGCAGCTTACGCGTATCCACGCGCGTCGATTTGTAACCACCAACGATTTAACTGCCCCGGGATTCTCTTCTGATTGTATGAATGGATGTTGCACTATGCGGGGATGTTGGAATGATGGATGAATGATTGGATGTATTCGACGGCCGTTTTGCATCCACAACGTAGCAATCATCCCGCCTGAGCACGTGTAAGCGCGATCCCATTTGCGCAGCCTACACGTACTCACACGCGGTGATCGCAATCGTCAAATATCAGGACAGGCGCGGAATTTCTGAACGACGGGCCCGGACTTTCCCCACCCAGGTAAACACGCACTAAGGAATTTCGCGGCCTCACAATGACAAGATGACGTACTCGAGGGACTCAGACTCGTCGTGGGATCCGGAGTATTTCAACCCTTGGGTGAGCGAGTGTCTCAGACGAAGACGCCCGGAATTCCCTTGCCTAACCGAGAATCGATTGTGCCCCAGGGAGTTTCACTGTGCCACCACCAGCGATCCGAGGTGCCCCAATTTTCCCACTTCGGATAACTCGCACTACTTCATATCCCCCGGCTTCGTCGTTATCGCTACCAACTTCCCTCCCTTCCGCCTCCTTCTCCCGTATCACCAGCTCACAATTGTCCCGTGGAATTCCATCGCCGAGTACTGGCCCCGCACGCCCTGCGGAAATTGTCGGCAACGCGGCAACCGACGAGCCCCTGAAAACAGGAGGCCTAACCCAAACGCGCGACAACCGACGCCACGTGGCTGCCCCTAAGGGCCTGACTCATCAGAATCACAGCCATTCCGGGCAGACCCCTCCCCGAACCGCCGCCCCAAAACAGACGAATCGGACGGCCTTGAATGCACTGCGCATGCCATCTGCCTTACGACCGGAAGCGATCCGCCCCCTCAACCATATTGCACCCATGCCCCTGAAACACTGCCACAGGAGATCTCAGTTCTGACCTGGGACTCCACCCCCACTTTCCCAAAAATCCTTAGCACACCCCTTGTTGCACTTCCAGGCCCACATCCCACTCCGATCAGGAAGTCGTGCTGGGCGTGAGGTTGGTATCGGAGCCCAACACGTGGCAGGGTTCTAGGAGTCATAGCTGGGCGATCTGGCTAACAGAGGACGACCTCGACCCCGGAACGCGCATCGACGCGATCCCGTCGTCACCAGAAGCCGGTCTGCGGCTCGACGGACGGTCAATATGAATGCTAATCAGCAGAACCCCCAACAAAACCCGAACCCCCAGCAGTCCTAATCAATCCGCACCACGAGCACGGGCTCCCATGACGCCCCCTGACCTCTATCTGTTTGATCCTGCGCACCCTCTTGCTGGAGCATGGCTAGCCACGCTCCGCGCTCAGCAGTATGACGATAACGAAGCTCAGGTGAACATTCCCGCTCGATTAGGAGGGGACGCCCATCATTGGTTTAGTACCTATGTATGGGTGGATCTTCCAACTTTCGAGCGAGATTTTATGAATCGGTTTGATTATATCCATCCAGAACAAGCGCTCTTTATGATTAAGGATCGATTCCAAAAACCTCTTGAATCTGTTACGGGATATCGAAACCGTTTCTACCGAATGTTCGTAAAAACGGAATGGGGCGAGCAAGTAGGAAGAGATTTGTTCATTGACGGACTTCGCAGCCGCACGATGAGGGCGAAACTGCGAAAACACTTCTCCCCCATCAATCATACGCTGCAACAGATCATGCCAGCCGCAGAAGAAATGGAAAGAAATTTTGTTGCGAGTTTCCTAGAAGGAGAGGATTACCCTAGGGAAGGAGACTCGTCTGAATTAGCCAGGGCTAAAGCTGAGCTGGTCGTTTTGCAAAACAAGTTTGAAAACATGGGGTTTGTATCCGGACCGGTCACCTATTTAGAGCAGATTACCCCTAAACGGTCAGTCCCAAGTGTGATCGCCAACGTACCAGCTCCCGTGATGACAATGCCTCCACCTCCGATCGAAAATCCCGCACGATCAAATGATTCGACCGCCTTGCTTGAACTGACCAAAACATTGGTTAATTTGATTCAGGAGAGCAACAAGGAGCAGCGGAAACACAATGCTCGAATCGAGGCTATGATGAGATCGATGCGACCCATCGCAGTGCGTGCCGCGCCAATCCAACACGGATTGGCTCCGGCACCGCCTCCTGCCGGGATCCCGGGCAACCTAAATGTCTGCTACACATGTCACCAACCAGGGCACATAGCCCGAGATTGCCCTCACCGGCCCTCGCAACAACGAGTCGGAGCCGCACCAGTAGTTGCAGCACCAATCGCTAACGGGCCAGGACGGGTAGGAGCATTGATGGAAGAAGTAGAGGGAAGCGGAACTGTGTTAGCATCAATGGAGGACGCTGCAAAGCTTATTCCCTTGGATCAGTATGTAACACTGGGATACCCGGGGCTTGGAATGATTGGTACGATTAGACCCGCGCCTGAACAACGAGAGGTGGCAGAGTGGCGACCTTCTCCAGGAGAGATGGAGTCGGGAGGACCCACTTTCGTCACAGGGGAAATCGATGTTTTGAACATCGTACGAGCCTTAGATCATTGAATCCCCCTTCCAATCGGCCATCTGCTTTCGATATCAGAACAGGCTAACGAACCTATGCTGCAGCACTGCAAAGCAAAACGGAAACGATTTGCCCTTACCCGAACAACAAACACGAAAACGAAAGGACCAACACCGGACGAAAATGCCGCAGGTACTTCTGATCCCATACGCATAGGACTAATCCAAAAAGATGATCACTTCCTGCGGATTAAACCCATCCCATGGAAATCCGCGGAATGCGGCACTGAGGTATGGGGAATTCCGTATAATGCTATCATCGATTCAGGAGCCGCTGCGTTGGCTATTTCATTACGGGTAGTGGAGAGAGCAGGAAGAAAGAACGATATGGTCATGCTCACTGAAAAAGATCAGCTCGTCTCAGCAGATGAAGAAAAGATCAAAACAGTGGGACGAATGACTAACGTTGCTTTTCAATTAGGGAAGGTGCATGCTTTGGGTGACGTCGTAGTATTAGATGTCAATACTTACGACGTACTTTTTGGCCTTCCCGCCCTGGTAGCACTACGAGTCAATCTGGACTTCGAAAGACGATCGATTGTCCTTCGAAATACGGGTGGGAAACCCTATGTTGTACCAATGAGACTGACCCTTCGTACTACCGCTAACATAGCCCCACGAGTTTCTCCCGCGATGACGGGGACCCTTCGCATGATTACCTGGGACCACGGGCAGACATCCAAGGACGCAGACAACAGCGATGATGATGATGATCCCGTAATCCTGGAAATGGCACAAGAACGTATCCATTACCCCGTGCAACGGACAAATGTTAAAGCGTTGAGCAAGACTAACCAAGATTTGCAAAGAACACAGGCTATGATTATGGGAGAACCTCTCGTACAGATTTCAAGGATGGTCGATTCTTTGGAACCCCCTCGAACCCTATACGAAGGGATCTGCCCTTTTCTCGCCCGATACAATGACAAAAGGCACTATTGCGATATCACGGATCTCCCGAAGTCCTTGTTGACACCCGCAAAAGAAATTCGATTGTTACGATTGGGGGCAGAAATCAACTCTTTGGAACCCCCTGAGCGCCTCGAGAACGGACTCGGGATCAAGATTGCAACGAAGCCTGTGCCGTAGCAAGACACTCGAGACGGGGTAACGCCTGAAGAACACGTGGCCATCCGAGAACAAGATGCACAGATGATGGCCACAGTGTTCTCCTGGCGATCAGATAACTCATTCATCTCCGCGCCCCTGCCAGAAATGTCAAGCGGGTGAATACAAAACACATTGATGTGAGGATATGGGATGAGTCATATGAGTTGCACGTACCGCAGTATGTACCTGATGAGATTCACCACCTAATCGCAGACATTCTAAAGGAGTACAAAGGAGCGATTAGTGTGATGGACACAGACATTGGACTATCGTTAGTCATCATACAGCACGAAACTATTCCCCAATTCATTGCAAACCTTATAGATATTCCCTGGTAGAACAGAGAAAGGCTCTCGAGCGGATTCGAGAATTTGAAGCAACATGTTTGCGACGTTAAATAATTCTTGAGGAGTTACGAGAGATCTCCTTAAATGCCTCTTGATCAGCAGTGAGTCCTGTAGTGACAGCCTAGAAGTAGAGTCAGGCTAGAGACCATAGTTGACAGGGTCCTTCAAGGATTTTGTGGTCCTTAGTAAGTCAGTCTTAAGTTATGTCAGTCAGGGGGTGAGAGTCTAAGTGGTGAGGAGTGGAACTGCCATCCGGTTGTACACCTGTCACCATGGTTGACACGCGTAGTGGTTTGAGCACCACCCCATATACAAAAGAACAGGAAGAGAGTGTTGTCGCCATACTGAAAGAAAGGAAGGAGAAGAAGGAGGCCAAGAAGAAGGCCATGTTGGAAGCACAAGCGCCGAAGAAGAAGAGGCTTGAGAAAGAGATGGAGAGGGTGAAAAGAGAAGAGGAGGAGCAGCTTGAAGAAGTAGAAGAAGAAGAAGAGGAAGAAGAGGAGACACCCCTATTGAGGACTGGGAGGAGAGAAGAAAAAGGGGAATCCAGTGGGACCAGTGAGGATGAGAAGAAACTGGAGAAGATGGTCTCAGAATGAGTGGCTAATTTATCTCTGGGGGAGGATGAAGAAGCATTGATGTACATTCCCCAGGACGAGAGGGATGTTGTTGTGGCAGAGATAAAGATCTTGGAAGACCCGTTAGAGCAGCAGGTCTTGGAGGAGGAGAAGAGAATGGAGTGGAAATTGCGATTGAGGAGGCAGAGAAGGAGGCGCATAGCAGCGACTACTGAATTGGAGAAGGAATTAGTTGTCGCAGCAGAACAACATACGCAGGCGCTGGCAAAGGAGGATGTGCAGAGTAAGTTGGATGCAATCGCAAAGAGTATAGATGTATTGATTCGCGCCCAACAGGAACAGATCCATACTACCAGGGGCCATGACATAGCTTTACAGTCCATCCGAGTAGGCTTTAGAGATTTTGCCCACGGTATAATGATGTGGATGGGCACCGTGATGCAAGCCCGTATGAAGAGCAAAGAGCAATTCTGTGTTGGCGCCATAGAGGGCGCCAAGCTCGCAGCTCCAGAGGAGGAGGAGGCACGCCCGCGTAGAGAACGAGTCAAAGTCAAGTTTCCTGACGCCTACAGCGGGAAACAAGGAGAAAATTTTGATAATCGGGAAGCAAATATTAACTCCTACGTGCACCTCCGGGACATTATTCCTGAGGAGCAAGTCCTCGTTGCATTCCACGCCCTTAGGGACGAAGCGTCCAGCTTCGCCAGGTCGTTAGTCCGCGCTGCCAAATGTGACAATGACATGGTGGCGTACTTTACCATCACTCCCTTCAGTGAATTCCTAAAGTTAATTCGCGAACGTTTCGCGGATGTAACTAAAGGAATTAAGGCATCTGACAAGCTCCAGACCATCCACGCACGATGGCGGAAGAGTGCAAGGGCACTCAAGGGGACTATGGATGAGCTTGTCGCAGTTCCCAATCACGGGGTCATTGAGCCACAGTTGGTTCAGTTATTTTATCGTGCGATGCCCGAGAGTTTGCACGGGCACTTCTACGACAAGTCGCGAGAACAAGGGATGACTTATGATAGGTTGAGTCGCGACGTTGTGGCATATGAGGTCCGGTCCACGCCAGTGAAGGCCTTTTGGCATAGAGATTTTGAGAAGGGTAAGAAGTGGAAGGGCCATACCATTTCAGGGCAGGTTAAAGGGAAGGATAGCCTGATCCTGACTTTGGATGAGGGGGGAATGGAGGAGGTCTCGTATAGTGAGATAGAGTGGGGCCTCGAAGAGGAAGACAGGAGTGTAGGTCAGGGGAGTTCCTATGCGGCTGTCGCGGCTGGAGGGAGGCCGCAAGGAAGAGGAGGAGGTCGGGGCCAAGGGGGTCGGGCCTCAAGTGGTCGAGGATAGGACAATCAGGGGGTTGGCGGCAGGGGAAAACGCCAAGAGGTAGGTAGGGGTCAAGGTCCCCCGCAAAACCGTCCACGTTCCAATCGGTCACCTTATAGAAGAGGTGGATGGCATCCGGGCTTGTCACAGGGCAGGTCTTGGGAGGATTTGGGTATCGATCAGAAAGTCTGTCAGAAAAGGATAGACCAGGATCAGTATATCTACTGCGGTGATCCGGGTCATATTATCAAATACTGCCCCAAATATAGGGAGGCCCAATTTGCTGCACAGGCAGCAAAAGGCAACCGTCGGTAGGGGTCGCAACTGCCCTTACCCCTAGACCATGTGGAGAAGAGTGCGCGCACCACAGAGAATCTCCCAACCCACATGTGTCTATGGCATAGGTTGTTGGCCAGTGCCTAAAAAGTTGTCCAGAGACTGTTTGCGTTAGGATCTCTCTAGGCACTTCCCTCACAGGCGTGGCGGAAGAGCTGAAGGAGGGGATGCCTGTCTGGGCCAAGATGAAGAAGAATGAGAAAGGACAGCTAGTATTGGTAGATGTAGAGATTTTTAGAGGTAGAGTAGGGGCCCTTATAGACAGTAGGGCTACCCATAGCTATATTAGTCGCAAAGCGCTACAGAAGCTAAAGTTGAATCTGAAGGTCCGAAAGTTAGAGGAACCTATAGTCAGCATCCTCGCAGACAATCGCACAATGCGAGTCGAGGATTACGTCGAAGGAGTCCAGGCTTATTTTCGCCTAGAGAAAGATGGGAAGGTAGAAAGAGCTCTCCATTCCCTGACTCTCCTCGTAGAAGAGAACCTCCCATTTGATATAGTCCTAGGAATGGATTGGGGAGAGGCAGTAGGGCCCACACTTCATTTGAGAGAGCATGAGTGTAGGCTCCCTAGTCCTTCAGGTGGAGTCAAGATTGCCCGTCTGTTTCATGTGTCAGGGGTGGAGAACCCCTTAGCACATTGCTGCCTTAGCGCTCCTGCGTTCGCAAGATTAGTAAAGAAGGAGAAGCTAGAAGAACAGGTTTTCGTTGCCTACGTTACGCCAGTTACTGAGCCTAAGTCCGAAGAGATCATAGACCCTCGTATTGCCAAGTTGTTGGAAGAGTATGCAGATCTGTCTGAGCCGCCTACAGGAGTAGTGCAGCGGCCGATCCAGCATCGAATTGAGATAGAACCTGACGGTAGAACTCCCAAAGGAGTGGTGAATAACAAGATTTCAGGGAAGTGCTCCCGGCTGTCTTTAAAGAACCAGTACAGGCGTAGTACATCCCTAATTAGGCGAATTAGGCTATGTCCACCTTAGTTGGTTGTGACACTCCCTGGGGGACATTTGGTTTCTTCTATTATGGATAACAGGATTTCAGGGATAGCTGAATCCTGGTTGGTGTTTGCTAGAGTAGTAGTGTTCCGAGCTCTTGGTTTGCTGATGCCAAAACGATGGTCGTCGGTGCTGGGGTGTATGCCCTGTAACCTATCTTGTAGCAGGAGCGTGAGGCCTGGTAGAGAGATCTGGAGATTTGTCGAGGGAGGAAGGCAATCGATTAGCGAACTAGGAGGTACTACCAATACAACCTGTGAGGCCGGGTATAGTTTTGGTAGTGAGAGCACGACAGCGATGGCAGGTATTGGGCAAATTGATTTTTATCTTTGGAGTACTGAGTCTGGTTTAGGGGAAAACTAGGAGTTGCTCATTGATTGTGAGCTTGCGAGTTGCGGATGTATCTCACAGTTCTGAGTTTTCACAGAATTAGCAGAAGTTTATCATCATCCCCCGGCCTCAATCTTCTTGTTGGTAATATCAGCCTTGGGCACTGGGTCCGGTTTTTATTTAAAAAAAAAAGGGGGGGGGGGGGGAAAGGAAGGGCATAGTGCACCAGCGAGTGTGCTTTCAGCGCCTCAGCCACAGCCTCACATGAATGGGTGTACGCGGGAGACTGGCTCTGGTTGCAGGGATGCTCGCTAATTCCTTATGTCAGTGCAAGTGTGCGCGGCGTCAAGAGAACGGATGTGTAAGCACTCTTCAAGTTTTTCAACCATACAGACCTGGGAGACCTTGCATTTCCAGCCCAACGAAAAAAGGCAGTAGGTGAAGCTGATCCTTCTCACATATTGTTAAGGAGATCTTGAACAATACGGCAACCAATTCGGATGATTAGGGGAGTGAGAGACTTTGTGATTGACCACCACCACAGTCCCGTCAGCTATCTCAGTAGGTTTCATGCCTGAGTGGCACCACGTAGGTGGTGGGTTCTAATCGCGTTGCCGTCACCTGCGGTGGCCTGAGCAGGATGGCCAGGGGCAGTCAACGCTGGTAGCTCACTCGGGTGAGTTGTGCCGCCCTGTAACCCGTGGAGATTCGGGAGCGTCAGGGCAGGTGGAAATGGCTGCTCAGGTTCTGCTCTGGCCAGTCGGAACACGCCCAAGAAAAGAATTCTCAGGTTGAATTCTCAGTCAGAGTCATCACAGGTTACATTCATGGTTGGATTACGATGCCAATTGGAGTTGAGACCCTCAATTTCATGATACTTCGAGAGGCTTAAACTCTCAACATACCTGTCATAACAGAAGCTCTATAACCAATAATCATGGCATAAATCCTACGGTAACTTCCATAATAATCTCGAATTACCTGGATATCTGTGGATATATCTTTTTTTTTTTCCTTACCCTTTGTTTTTTTTTTTTTATAACTAAGCTATATTCTTCTCTCAATGTCACCTTTCACTACCTACCTACCACTACCACTCAGCCTATACTCCTGCAAGCGTGGCTACCTTTCACAATTAAGGGGATGCGTGTTGCCCCCCGCCCTAACCAGCGGTGGTCATAGAGTACGGTGGGGCCGCCGGTGGGGGGGACCAGCTAACGCAAAAACCGAGCATTTTGCCAGTAGTTGTGCCTCCCATCTACTTCCCAGCCCCCATCGAGTAACAACAATATCTATGGTCGGCACTCTTCCACACACCACACACAACACCCCCCCCCCACACACACACACACCCGAACAGGGGGAGCAAGCCAACTATCTCAGTTGGTTGGCACCAAGAGTGTCACAGGTGGTCAGTGGGGATGACCTCCTGAATGCCACTTGCGTGCCTAACCAACAGAGCTAGGCCGCTTGCTCACCTGTCCCCTGTGGATATATCTCAAAGGCTGCCACCCTTTTGTTTCAAAAAAAAAAAAAAAGAAGTGGTTGGCAACCACCAACATCCACAACATTCTGAAAGTCGTGTTCCCTAGCAGAGACATATCCCACGCAACTCCCGCCTAAAGGTCGGATCTACAACTCTTTCACTGAGGTCACTTCCCCTTTCAAGAGGAGAAATTATCTAACAGTACAAGGAGACAATTATGTTGAACCGCTCAGTCGAAGTGCTAAAATGCAAGGGTGAGTTTGAATCCAGATGGTACACCCATAAACTGTTGATATGCAGACGTGAGTTCAATTCGAGATAGAACCGGATGAGCGAAATTTCCTGAATCATCTAGGGCCGGTCAGTTTCACGATGATATCTCAAGGCTGTCGGCCTTTTGAAAAAAAAAAAAAAAAAAAAAAAAAGAGAAATAAAAAGACACTTATGTTGATTATGTACCTTGTAACCTGGGACTTTTGCCGTCTCAAAGAGATTATAGTCGTACACTCTTTACGCCCTTCCCCTTCATTCTCCCCCAATCAAGCTATTGAATGTGTAGGACCTTTGCTGAACTCGGAGATTGACACACACTCCTTGTGGTAATTCCAGGTTCCTCCTAACAGGACGTGATAAGTTGATTAAACCACGATACCTTTCCCATATGTCGGTCGCGGGCAGTGTTAGAGGCCCGAAATGAAAAACGGATGGCCTCCCCCGCTTGGCTACCGCATTACCCGGCGCGTCTTAAATTTCAAGCGGGGAAAGGTACTGGTGGTTCAAACCACCAGTACTTGGCCCAGCTATCGGCTGTGGAAAAGAATAGAGTAGAAACATTTCAGTCGGATGAATTTGGGCTCTCCTGTACTAGCCCGTACGTTTCATAAAATTATGGCTTGTTAAGGGCCACGACTTTAGGAAGTACTGGTGGTTTAACAATTACATCCAGATTCCATACCTTATTCTCATATGCATCTTTGCTGCAATTCTTTTAGCGAAGTGTCCTATAACTCAAGGGAAGCCAGATTGTGGAACCGTTGAAAATTTGGACTTGCATTACATTGTCAAGCCTTCTAGTCTCAGCCACCCCTAGACTATGCATAGACATAGAAGTTAGAACTTATGCATAAACAACATAGAAGTTAGAACTTATGCATAAACAACATAGAAGTTAGAACCTATGCATAAACATATGATGATATGAACCTATACATAAACATAAAAGTTTGAGAACCTATGCGCAAAATCTGGGTTCATATGTTTATGCACAGGTTCTAACTTTTAAGGTCTAACACATTTTTGCATGCTTCCACCAAAGCCAAATCTTAAACCACCAGTACTTGGCCCAGCTATTGGCCGTGGGAAAAAATAGAGTAGAAATGTTTCTAGTCGGACGAAGTTGGGCACTCCTGTAGTGGCCCGTAGGTCTCCTAAAATTATGCATTGTTAAACCACCAGTACTTGGGCCATACATCGGCTGCGGGCCTTCCCCGTTAACGCGCCGCAGCCTTAGGGGGTCGGCCAAGGGAAGGTCCGGTCGTTGCTGAATGGCCGGGCCCCGATTCATTCGGCATGACACAAAAGAAAAAGAACAAAGAAAGAAAAAAAACATCAAATACACAAAAATGAAAAAAGAAAGAAAACCAAAGAAAAGAAAGTAAATCATGCGGGAGAGAGAGAGAGAGAGAGAGA